TGGAAAAAGTTTAAAAAAACTTGCTCTTTTTTGACTAAGAGGCTCAAGAAAACTACTTCATTCAACCATCCAAAAGGTCTCAGATAGCACAAAAAGCCCTTGATATGAGTCGCACCAGTCTCATCTGAAAGATACTCCAAGGTTATTGATCAGACCCATTCCTTACAAAGCAACGATCTCTACATAGTAATGTTAAATGGGACCCAATCTGTGTGTGACTTTTAACCGAATTTCAGGGTAAATAGTCAACATTGTATTCATTGTTAGCCAATTATTGGACAACAAACTATCGCTAACCTATAAAAAGGAAAATATGCAGAGTTAGCAGGCTACAGATTGTACAATAACTAAAGCCACGAGTTCACAATATCAAGCGACTTTGCACGTCGTCAAAGATATATAATCTTAGCCAAGTGCTTATTTTGCCACAGGAAAAACCACAAGTCAATTTAGTGCCGAACCGTAACAAATCAAAGCAGTTGCTGCAAGATACTTAGCAAAATGTCTTCTTCATGTTCTCAGGCAATCACAGCAGCTTTGGCTGCCAAAGATGCTATTCGCACAAACTTTACACATCAGTACGCTTGAAAAATGACAAACAACAATCAAAACTTTAACGCAAGAAAAGAAGACATTCTATTCAAATTCACAGAATATTAAAAATGGACGAAATTTGAGTAATAAGATTAGTGAATACATTCGAAAGAAAGTGAATTCTTCTGAAGACACCTTGAATAGCTCCAATTGGTACTAATGAGGTCAGAGGAAAGCAACTTTCGGCGCACATCGAAATGCAACGGATATATACAATGTCAGGAATACAAGGGCATAACCAATATTTGCGAAACCACCTTCCTCTAACAGGTACAGCATACGAGGAAGAGATCCAAATCATACAAAACCAACAGATTACAAGTGGAATCCCTTTAGTAAATCCGAATTTAAAAGACATTGAATTTACAGAAACAAAGACCATTTGCTTAGCAAATTCCATTCAATGGTGGACAAGATTCACATGTACTCATTACTTTAGACTATTATCACGACTTGGTCACTAAAGTAATATTATCCAATCACCATCTGGTTTACACATAGCAAAAACAATTTTTGCACCAACCACTTACGGATATTACGGATATGGATGAGTGTGAACGTATAGATGATACAACATGTCTAATTCCATTGCGAACAACGGAACATGAACTTTTACAAAAAATTTTGAAGTTGTAGGACTGGATATGAAGCCGAGTAATGTCAGTTTGACGAAGAAGCACAAGATATTTCATATTCGCAAACAGTACATTAAAACGCCATTTTCATTGAGAAAACGGGTTGAAGTTGATAACCACTAATGCAACTAGGGGCCTGGAAACACCAAGAAGCCTTGAAATAATAAAGACCAAAAAATTGCTATGAATTTATTCAAAGATGCATAAACGAAGACGTTATTGGAACATTCAAATTACCAACTTAAATACGACAGGAATCTGTATACTTCACTTAGAAATATGTAACTAAACAAAAACACATCACTCAGCTTTTGACCGTCATGAAAAAGAAAAGGACAGCTCTGCCTCAACGATCACATACACGAAGGATTATCCGTCATGAAGTGCATACATTTTCATGTCCACACGCTTCAAAAATTCAATTTGTCTGCGATTCCGGGGCAGCGTTCACCCAAATACGCCTAACTGACTCATATAATGGCTTGTCGATTTCTATGGTTTAGCATGTCGACCATCCATCAACCAAGGACAGTGCCATTGAGTTTTAAACGACTTTGGAGTAACAGCCTCATCTAGTATACTAAAAAAGGCTTTTCTCAGTCGTGGGCAGGGCGGGCCACCCTATCAAAAAATCAACTGAAAAACTACCATTTCAATATTACCAAACAAAAGAGCTTTTCGTGACATTAGTGAGTTAAATTAATCCAATTTTTGACCTGACTGATGTCACTGGGCCACTTTCATACTGCAGAAAAGGCCATAAAAGACAAGACCAAATGATAGTCATCATTACACTAATGCTCTATTGGTCTATTCCTCACGGCAATGCTCCTTCAACAACTATTAAAGAAACCAGACTCCGCGCCAACGGTAGGAAGCAGTGCAGGAGTTTGCAGAATTGCATGGGAAAATGAAGAAGGAGCGTAAAGATGCGAATAATGAGATTTACGACCCAAACATATCTTATGGGTTTGATCATATC